AATTAATAATAAAAATATATTAATTACATTTCTTAACTTAACTTATACTTAAAAATATAGACTAAAAAATACACTTTTATTGATAAAGGGTTCGCAGCATCGCATCACATTACCATGAGTTTAACAATATATATCTATACATGGATGTAAGTTTTATAAAGGCGACGTCACCTTAGCAAAGGGGAATGGGGTTAAAAGAGTAGGGCGTGATATAAACTTTTGACATATAAAACTAAAACTTAAAAAAGTGACCACCCTTTCCCCTAACTAATATCTCTTCAATGGGAAAAGGAAATGAAAGTTCTGGAGCAAAAGCAATTGCCATAGTTCCTTTTGAAGCTCCCATGACAAGAACGGACAATAACCCCCATTATTCAACGCACTAATATTGCTAGTGTTTCACGAAAGCTCTCTTTATCAATTAAATAAAAAACAACAACAAGAAATTAATCTCGGATGCGAACCATGTCCGTTCGAAAAAAGCTCTCGTTTTTTGAGAAACTCTCACCCGCCGTTCCAGCCTCCATTGAGGAATCCGACCTACTCGATCGAAGTATCAAGAAAATAAAGGACACTCATTCCTCAGAGAATGATGGTCCCGAACTACTTATGCAAGATAAACATTCTGCCAAGGAAGAAAGATCAGGGGCACAGAAAGCTGTCGAGCAAAATCCTCAGGAATCAATGATGGAAGAAGATGTTCTACCCGGAGCTTCTTACCGGGATAAGCTGATCGTTGTGGATAATTCATCAGTGATCTCCTTTGCTACAAAACCCAAGTACATGGAAGAAGATTCAGATGTCGATGAGGATCCTGAAGATGACACCCCCATTGTTTTGCTTTCAAAAGCAGAGAAGCGACGCATCCGTGAACCATGGATGAACGCCATCATTATAAAAGCTTTTCATCATAGATCGTTGGGATATAATTATGTGTTCCCTAGAGTGAAAGCACAATGGAAGCCGGTAGGAAAATGGGACTTCATTGATTTGGGTCTTGATTTTTTCCTTGTGCGTTTTCAGGACAATGAAGATCTTAACAAGGTGATTCAAGGAGGCCCTTGGTTCATCGGCCCCTACTTCCTAACCATGAGAAGGTGGGAGCTTGATTTTGACCCTGAGGAAGCGCTTCGATCAACCACAACCACTGCTGTTTGGGCACAGTTGCCTCAACTTTTTGCAGATCACTATGATCCCATTACTTTACAAAAGATTGGGAACAAAATTGGCCCCCTTCTCAGAGTTGACGCACACACAGAGCATCATACTAGAGGAAGGTATGCAAGGTTATGTGTCCAGATTGATTTATCATAGCCTGTTGTGAAATATGTTCGAATTGGAAAGAAGAAACAGAGAGTGGTGTATGAAGGAGTCAGTGCCCTATGCTTTCATTGTGGAAGGATTGGTCATCGCAACAATCAATGCCCCAATGAGAAATTAAGGAGTCCTAGTATCAATGAAGCCACAACCTCTCCATTGGAAGCAATTATGGGGTATTCTAACATTCCCTCTGTTTCATCTAACAAAGCTGTCTAAGGAACTACAACATGCAAATCTGTGCAGGGGAATAATGAAGAATATGGACCGTGGCTGTTGGTTGAGCGTCGACGGCCAAAGAAAAAAATCACCGCCAACACAGGAACATCGGAAAAATTGGATGGTAGCCAAAAGCAGAAAGAATCACGGGAATAGGCTGGCCCGACCCGAAAAACCGGAACGAGGCCCCAACTTGCAATTAGAACCTTCAAATCAAATCAGCCTAACGGTCTTATGGTCAGGACATTTAAGGCGGACTGCTCTCAAAGCAAAGCTGTAACGGTCATTAACCCCAAACCTGTTTTGAACACCTACACAAAAATGGACCCTAAAGTTGGCCAATGGATTGTCAAAGATCAAGTAAACAATCATGGCCCAACTAAACATGAAGCCCAAAATGTGCCTAAACTGAAGCTACATGCTTCTACTGAACCTGAACCTATTTCAAAGGAGAAATCCAACATCTCCCCTAAAGGCCCGCTTAATGGCCAACCCTCATTTATCACAAAAACAACCAAACCTGTTACCTGCTCCACAAATCCCTTCACTCCATTAATGCTCGAAGACAAAATATTGTCTGATACTTAAGAAAATCCCCAACCTTCATTACCATCTCCTCCGAAACCCCTCGGTGTTGATGGAGTTGTGTCCATTCCTGTCGGAGCATCCAAGAACTCAGGTGTTCTTAGTCAAGGAACAAATGGCAGTCCGAATGGAGACAGCGCTGGAATGGATCTTGGATTGTGTCTCCCCCAGAGGATCCAGATGGACAATGGAAAAACTATTTGCAGCTTGGCGAGCACCAATCCTCACAGACATGGAAGTGAATCTCCCAGAAATAGTCCAACGTATTCCGGAGCCAGTGGAGGAACCGAATCAGGTGGATCTTCTCAAAATCCTGAACCTTGAGTCTCCAGAAGAAGAGTAAGGCGAAGTAGAAATGTCGGGCCTTATTATTCCCCTTATAATCAGCAGTGTAGCGTATATGTAGCATCTGAAGAGTGTGGTATTTCAAGGAAAGATGGAAAAAATCCACCTTTTCATCAAAGTGCACTGGTCATTGATGACGCGATCGGAGAGGGACTTCGAAGTCTTAGTGCTTCCTTATCATTTTCCAATGGCGAGGTTCCTAACTTGGCACAACCCCTCCCCACTGCCGGTAATGAACCCATGGTTAGCCCGATTGGTCCTGGGACCACAACCCCTCGACGATTGGATTATGAAGATCATTTCATGGAATTGCCGGGGTGCAGCAAAATCCAACTTCCGTAAGGGTGCTATGGATCTAAAGCGCATTCACAATCCCTCAATGATGTTGATTCTTGAAACAAAGCTAACTGGGCAAGATGCTAGAGACCAAGCGGCATCCCTTGGCTTCCCCAAATCTTGTATTGTGGATTCATAAGGTCTCGCGGGAGGATTATGGCTACTATGGGATGACTCGATGGTGAACGTTGATGTGGTCTCACATGGCTCACAGGCAATTCACGCGGTGGTCCAGGTACGCAATAATCCTTTATTTCATTCAAATTGGTTTTTTTTTCTGGAATTTATGGTAGGCCTCAATTGAGATTTGAAACTTACTTTGGCAAGAGCTAAAGAGTATGGCAAATAGTATTTCTATTCCTTGGATGATTATTGGTGATTTCAATGATATATTAGATCAGAGTGAGAAATTTGGGGGTAATCCTCCTTCACAATCTAGAGTGGAGGCCTATTTAAATTGCATGAATGCTTGTAACATGATTGACCTGGGATTTATTGGCAATAGATTTACTTGGATTAACTGCAGATTTTCTAGTCAACTTATTAGAGAAAGATTAGATAGGGCCTGGGCTAATCCTGACTGGAAACTTATCTTTCCTGAGTCAGCTGTTTTTCATCTTCCCCGTACCCACTCTGACCATTGCCCTATCCTTCTTGACCTCAACCCAATACAATCTAGACATGGGTCTCGACCTTTCCGGCTAGAGAAATTTTGGGTTGATCACCCTGAGTTTCAACTTCTGGTTCAACAAATATGGTCTGATTATAATAGCAACACTTCTAATTGTCTTCAACAAACTATGCAAAAAGCTAGAGTTTGGAGCATTGCTGCTTTTGGGAACATATTTAAGGAGAAGAAGAAATTACTAGGTAGGTTGGAAGGGATTCAAAAATCCTCTGCTTATAACTCTTCCTCTTTTTTATGGCAACTAGAGAAGGACCTGCTTTAAGAATATAACAATATTCTTAATATGGAAGCAGATCTATGGTTCATGAAATCTAGGGCTAATTGGTTGGTGGATGGAGATAGGAATACTAAGTATTTCCATTGCTCCACTATTAAGCACAAATCTAGGAACAGGATTTATGGGCTTAAAAATCAGCATGGGGAATGGGTTTATGATGGTAATTCCATTGCCTCTATTGCTTTGGAGTATTTTAATACTCTCTTTACTACGTCACAATCTTATTCTTATTTTGACTCTTATGCTAATATTGGTTGTGATGCCCCTCATTCCTTTGACCTTAGCTCCATTAGCGGTACTCCCTCAGAAAGGGAAGTGCTGGATGCCATAAATTCAATGAAACCTTACAAAGTTCCTGGACCGGATGGTATTCATCCCTTCTTTTATTAGAAGATGTGGCATTTTATCAAAACCACTTTATGTCGTGATATCCAGGAGATCTTTGTTACTGGTAATATCCCTATAGAGTGGTCTAAATGTCTTCTTGTCCTCATTCCTAAAGTCAATTCACCAGAATCCATCCAACAGTTTAGACCTATTAGCCTTTGTAATACCGCCTCTAGAATTATCTCTAAGATTCTTGTTCATAGGATCAAGCCTTGGATGGATAAAATTATCTCACCTTGTCAGGCTAGTTTTATCCCGGGTAGGCAAGGCATTGATAATGTTCTTATTCTTCAAGAGTTTGTCTATTCCTTTAACAAGAAGAGGGGCAGAATTGGAGACATGGTTTGTAAGCTTGATCTTGAAAAGGCGTATGATATATTAGAATGGAGCTTTATCCATGAAACTCTTATTTTCTTTAAATTTCTACCTGATATCATACGCCTTATTATGTCTTCTATCACCTCAGCATCTATTTCAGTTCTCATTAATGGGGATAAAACGGACAGCTTTACACCTACTTGTGGTATCCGGCAAGGTGATCCCCTCTCCCCTTATATTTTCATATTATGTATGGAGCATCTTTTGATAAAGATCACTTCGGAAATGGACAAGGGCAATTGGAAAGGCAGCAAAGCAGGACGGAGAGGTCCTCTATTCTCTCATCTATTCTTTGCTGATGACATTATCTTTTTGGGGAAAGCCACCATGACCAACGGAGTTCTCTTGAAAAATATCTTGGATTTCTTCTGTTCTAGATCAGGACAAAAGATTAATGTGCAGAAATCCAAAATCTTATTCTCTAAAAATGTTGATCAAGCCTCTCGCAATTCTATATGTTCTATTCTAAGATACAACCAAACTGAGAATCTGGGCAAATATTTGGGTATCCCTGTTTCAGCTTATAAGTTGAACAAGAGGCATTGTCAATTCATTGTGGATAAAGTCAGAACGAAACTTGCTGGGTGGAAAACCAAGTTTCTTTCCATGGCAGGTCATACTACGTTAGCTAAATCTGTGTTAGCTGCTGTTCCTAATTATTACATGCAAACTACTTACCTGCCTACTTCTATCCATAATGAATTAGATAGGATTTCGAGAAATTTTATTTGGGGAGCTGATGCAGAACAAAAAAAAATCCATCTTGTATGCTGGGATAAAGTTACTCAACCTAAAGGAGCTGGAGGTCTTGGAATTAAAAGCGCCAAAGAAGCCAACATTGTTGCCATGACCAAACTTAATTGGCGCTTGCACAAGGATAAGGACAAACTCTGGACCACTCTTTTTAGAAATAAATATAGTTTTACTGACCCTCACTACTCTTACTCTTTTTCAGGTTCTCCTACCTGGAAAGCAATTGGGAAAGGTCATAGCTTATTTTGTAAAGGCATCAAATGGATCCCCAGGGATGGTAAAAACATTAGTTTTTGGAAGGACTACTGGGTCGGTAACTCCCCCTTGTTTTCCATCCTTTTTGGTCCTCATCAAAGTAATTATTCTTCAATCACTGTTGCTGATTATTTTCATGCGGGACCTGATGGTCCTAAGCTTATTGGATATCAGCTACCTGAAGAAATTACTATATCTATTACCTCTATACCTCTCTCAATTTATCAAAGTAGAGATGATACTTTTGCTTGGAAAGATTCCTCTAAAGGGAAATTTTCTGCATCATCAGCTTATGCTATATGTAAAAATATTCCTCATGAAGCTGTTAAGAAATACAATTGGATTTGGAGATCACCCACGATCCCAAAGATCCAATATTTTCTCTGGCTTCTATCCCACCAAAGGCTTAAATGCTTTGATCTGCTTTTTAAATTGGGGATCAATACCACTGCCATGTGCCCCCGTTGCCAACATCAACATGAAACTATTGAGCACATCTTGCGTTCTTGCCCTTTATCTCAAGCTATTCTCTCTAACTTGCTACCTGATATATTCTCCCCACAACAACAAATGCTTAACTTTGTGGATTGGTTGTAGTTTAATATCAAATGTTCGATGCAAATGAACATATTGAATCTCCCTTGGAATATTATCTTTTGTTTTGCTCTATGGGGAATATGGCTGCACAGAAATCAGCAAATTTATAAGGATAAGCCGTACCCTATTTTAACT